AATAGAAACATGCGTAGTATGGTTTTACATAAAGCTAGATAGATACATGTGTGTGTGTGTGTGTGCGTGCGTGCGTGCGTGTGTGTGTGTGAAATGGTAGCCTCTATTGCAGGGTGGGGAGAGGAGAGACTTTGTAACTTAAAATGTAACAAAAAGAAATTTATTTTAAATAAACCTAAAATTAAGAAAAAAGTGTGGTATCCAGAATTGAACACAACACTTCAGATGTGATCTATGCCAAGCAGAGCACCAGGGCTATACCTGCCTAGGCCTAGACACTATTTCCTGAGAACACAGGATAAATGATGTGTTGCTGTATTCACAACTTTCAGTGAAAAAGGCTTCTGCCACCCTCCTTTATCCTTACTTGGCTGATTTATAGCATTCCTAAACTTTGGATACTCCCAGGGCTAAACTCTTGCTGGGATAATTGGAGAGGACACTGGCAACTTCCTTATACTGGCTTAGGATGTTAAGGATGAGCCACTTGAAGTGTTTTCATGTGAAAGAAGGGATCAGATTTCTCATGTTACACCTATAAAAATTAAATCAATGGATATAAGCTCTGTAGAGAGGGAGAATGAGGATCAAATTAAAGTTACCCAAATGTGATACAGATTGCCTTAGGAGATAGTGGAGTCCCCCTTCTTTGAGGTCTTCAAGCAAAATTTGGATGACCACTTGTCAGTTATGACCTTTTTCTCAGCTTTGGGTTGAACCAGATTGACCTCTGAGATTCTACAATTTCCTCACTATATAGATGAGAAAGTTGGGAGTCAAATTACTTGCCTCAATTCACCCAGTTAGTTAATAATTGGGCAGAGACACAAAAACAGAACCATTGACAAAATTCAACATTCTTTCTATAGTATCACATTCTATGTAGTTTCTTCTTTAATCATCTATTTACTTTTTTCCCTCCCCATCAAGCAAGGACTCTTGATTGGTACTTACTGACTATACCTGTGAAAGGCTGGGCATAATGTAAAAGTGAATGACAGTAAATGTTATATATGAAATCAGAGTATGTGGCATGAAGCACATGATGTGCATCAGAGTTTTGTTGTTGCAGCACCCTGATGAGGTAAAGAACCAGTTAGACGTGAAGGTGTCATTGACTGCATGCAAACTGATTCAATTTTTTAAAAAATGAACAAAAACACAAGGTGTAGCCATCATATAATGATATGGGAGGCTTTGGTGTTTTAGGATTTGTGTCTACGTCTCATACTGGTTCTGCGTAGATAGATAAAGATACGTCACACTGCATCAGAAGACAATTTCAAACACATTTTTCGTGAGATGGCAATAACACTGGCTGCATCCCAGTGTTAACAACTTTGAAGAACACCCATTTCTATGTGGCATTTTTTTAAAAATAGGTTTAACTTTATAGACATACTTCAAGAGTGGCAGTGCACACATATATATAACAGGCCTAACATGCTTAGAAGCAATACCTATAGCTAACTAAAAACCAACACCCTCATTTTAAAGAAGAGAAATCTGAGGATCTGAGAAGTTAACTGATTCATGCCAGAGGTGTAGTATTAGCCTAGGTCTCCTGCCTCCAAGGCCAGTACAATATCCACAAAGCCACAAAGCATTATCTGGGAGAGGTTCCTTAAGGCTATTTACCAATGTTTCACAAATGTTTTGAACTGCCAATTAAATGGGATTAGTGCTCAAGGTGTTTCTAAAATACAAGGAAAAAAAACTTATCTTTGAGCTATTTAAACATTTTCCTTATTACAGACATATCACTGGGTTGAGAGGCAGCATGGTTCTCAGGATAGTTCATTTTGGAGTCAAAAACACTTAGATTTAAGTCCAAACTACAGGAATCCAGGCCATTCTCTAAGACTGTAAGTTAAAGATCAACTGCTGCTGGGCTAAGGTGGGAAGAGTTTCTATACCGGAAGGTCCCTATGCTAATTGCTCATAATAGGCCTGGCGGAATGATCTTTAAACAAGTCTAAAATTAGTTTATCAGTAAAGTCTTTCTAAAGGATACATAGATCCCCCATTGGGGAGGTTTTTATTTCAGACCAAAGATACTAGATGACAAAATCTATCTCATTTTAAGCAAATGTTATGGTAATTTTCATTAACTATCAACATTGACAGTACCCAGCAAGCCACAAAATTCACAAGTATAGCTTTTCATGCGCAACGAAAACTGTATTATATGACAATATTTTAAAGAAAAACTTGACTCTGATCAAAGCAAAGAAGAACCATGAGTACAAAAGAATGAAGATGAAACATTCATTCATTTCCTAATAGAAGCCCATTCACTTCTTAATAGAAGGGTAATTAACTTAAAATACAGAAAGTGACATATATTTCCAGACAAGGCTGATGTGAAAATTTAAATCCTGCTATGTATTGATGGCTTTATTTTTTGTTTTTCTTTTTATTTGCTCAATGGAGGGTGAGGAAGGGCAAATTTTTTAAAATGTTTTAATTTAAAACTAAACCTTAATCATTTTATAAAGAAAAATGGATAAAATAACTTTACTAAAATCAATAGGCCAGACATCTTTTATTAAATCATAGATTTTTGTAATAATAACAATAATAGTGAACTTTATATAGCACTTTAAGGTTTAGAAAAACCCATCTGACCCTCAGAACAATTCATGTGAGGTGGGTTTATCCTTATGGAGCATTATCCTTATTTTATAGATGAAGTAACTGAGTGAAGTTGAGAAAAGTTAAGTGAACTGCCCAAGATCACACAGCTAGGAAATATCTGGCAGAGGAAATGAATTCAAGTCTTCCTGCCTCTGAGGCCAGTGTTCTATTGTTCACTTTGATACTAGGAAAGCACTCTTGCTGGAGGTGGCACTTGAGCCTTAACTGCAGGAATGGGAGGACAGCCTTCAACTCTATGAAAAAGCATGGAGGCAGAGATGCAATGTTGTGATTTGCCAGATGTGATCAATTTTGTTATTACACAGAACATGTCCGAAAAGTTTGCCTAAAATATGATACTTCAATAATCTGATATGTCAGATCAGTACTATCAGCATAATTACTCTAGAGATAGCATGAGGGAGAGGAAAGAATACAGAGGACCTGCTCTCTGCTAGTCACAGCTCAATCACTTTAATCATTTTGGCTGATTAAAGCAGCTCAATGTGTTTCATCATCAGTAAAATTGGGGTATTATTACTTATACTACCTGACGAGAAATTGTGAGAAAATAAGCACTATATAAATATAAGGTATTATCTATTTTATACTTCATAGTCTGGCCTATTGCTGTTTTTCCAATCTTCTTACATCTTATTGCCTGCAATAGCTCTGGGATCCTGTGATACTGGCATAGCAAACTACAACTCTCCCTCAAGCATTTACACTGACTGACCATCCCTTATGCCTGGAACTCTCTCCATCCTCATCTCTGCCTCCTGGCTTCCTTCAAGTCTCACCAAGTCCCACCTTCTGCAGGGTGCCTTTCCCCTCCCCCTTAATTTCAGGGTCTTCCCTCTTGAGATTATTACTGATTATATTTTGTTTGTCCACAATTATTTGCATGTTGCCCCCAATTAGACTGTGAGCTCCTTTAGAAGATTTTTTTTTTTTTTTTGCTTTGTGTCTCCAGTGCTTGGTTCAGGGCCTCCAACAGTATAAGAGCTTAATAAAATGTCTGCTGACTGATTAACTATTAAGAGAGTTAATTAACTATTAAGCTATTTTTTTAAAGCAAGTGGTTACTACCAAGTGCTTCAATGGCCTGTTAACATAGTGGGTGTTTCCTAGTAATTTCAAATAAAGAAACTCAGGAAAACAACTGACCTTTAGTGCTAAGGGGTGGAAGTATACATAACAGTATTTGAAAGACAGGAGTGTGAAAGAAGAATAAAACTTGTCTGTTATACTAGGGCAGAATTAGGAACAGTGGGGCAGAAGATACAGGGACGTACTTTTGATTTCACTTAAAAAGAAAAACTTGGCACCACTGATCTTCAAGCAAACAGTAGATGACTACACTAGGGAACAGAGAGGTGAGGGGATGGCCGAAGGTCACAGGAAATTCAAGGCAACCAGCATTCATTCAGTATGCACTGAGGTTTAGAGGGCAGTGGAAATTTCCACTCTCTATCTCTCATCTTCCCATCAAGGTGGAGAAATCCGGTAAATTCCTACCCGAGTAGATCAGCGGCCCTTTACAGTTCAGTGAGAGTTGCCTGGGATACACAAGAGAGGTTAAGTGACTCACTCATTGTCTACCTGAGACTTGGTCTCTCTGACTCTAACCATCTAACCACTTGAGACCATCTCCAACCACTGAAAAATGCTGCGCCTGAATTACGCGCTGAGGATCTAAAGTCAAAAAGGAAAAACTATCCCTACCCTCTAGGAGCTTAGGTCTTTGGGTAAATCGATGCAAATAAGTACTATGAAGTCAATTCGAGGGAATGCTACCAACCGAGGAGGGTGGGAAAGGGGGTACTAGTGTGGAAGGAGCCCCTGAACTGAGCTGTGAAGATAAGGGTTCTAAAGGAAGAGGTGAAGAAGTCGTGCGTGCTAGGTACGGGGCACATACTTTGTGCACAGGCACAGAGGAGGGAGACTGAACGTCGAGGGCAGGTATAGCTGGGATAGCGCAGTTTGGTGGAAAGGTGAGAGTAAAACAACACAGGCTTCTTATTCCTGGGCCGGGGTCCTGGGCTAACTTGTGGGGCTGGGATGGAAAGATCACGGAGGGTAGAAATGACCGCCGAGAGGCCAGCGTCCGGCGAGAACGGGAAGAGGGCGGGGAAGAGGGGGAGGGGAAAGGGTATAGGGAGGCTCTGGGACGGCTGCCTCGTGCCCAGCCCCGACCCGACATTCGAGGGAAGGCAGGCAGGAGGAGCACCGAGGGGCCCGTTTCCTCCCGGGCCAGACTTCCGGGAAGGGCGGGCAGCCGAGGCTGCAGTACTGGGGGAGGCCGAGCCGTAGGAACGCGGGAAGGCAGCGAGCGAGGAGGGCTCGGGGTCCTACCCACTCACCTGAGTCCAGCTCCAGCTGGTAACAGGGCAGAGGCTCCAGAGAGAGTTTGTAGCCCTCGAAGCGTGGGTCCAGCAGGGGCCGCTTCACGCGCAAAGAGCAATTAGCCGCCACCTCCATCACTCCGCGTCACGTTGAGCGCGGGACTCAACTTTAAAAGTGCGGTTAAAAGGTCCGCGTCTCTTACTGCCTTTGTAGGGTTGGAGAGTAGCACAAACCTGTCCCAGAGAGCTCCGCCGGTTCGGTGGGCTTCTGGGAAATGTAGTTTTCGAAGAAGGCAAACGCCGACGGGGAAGGCGGGTCTTAAGCCGCGATGCTCACTGGGAAGAGTAGTTTTTTTGTTTTTGTTTTTTGAGGTCTGAATGCAACTCTTCCGTTGGCTAGTAGACTCGTTCACCCAGAAGGCTAAGCAAATAGAAAGCCGGCCACGTGAGTGTTGTGAGGTTTCTTAGGACTCCGCTACGCCCCGGAAACATTTCTTTTTCCTTCCTCTAGCAGCTGGTGTAAATTGTTGTTTCTGGAGAGAGCTCTGAAGCCGGCAAGCCTACGGTAGGTCGCTGTTTAATAAGACTCGGTTATCTCTGCCTTATCTACACTGAGGTAGCGAAGGGTGTTGCGCGTTCTTCTTCCCCCGCCGAGGTCCTGGGACCAATCAAGAGAGAGACCCCCGAGCTACCTTGTCCCCCGGCTGAACGGCCATACCCTGTGCCGGTGGCGTTACTGCTGGAGCTTGAGAAAGGGAGATGGGCCCGGAGCCAATTCCTTGTTGAATTTCTTTGTCATGCCGACCCCCATACTTCGTATCCTCTGAAGCCCCATATTTCTTTTTGCTCCACCAACATTTCGCGGCTAAGCTTTCAGGGTGAGGGGACTGGTGCAGACCAGCCCCGCGGGCTGTTTTGAAACTGTCAGCTGTTCATGGGACTGGGGAGCATTCAAGTGAAAAAGGAACATCTGTAAAGCGAGCTGGTTGGGCTAGGTTAAAATCAGTTTAGTGAATGGATTCAAAGGTAGTCGAATGATTACTTGGTGATTTCCAGGGCTTAGCACAGTGCATGGCACATAGCTAGGCTCTTAATAAATGCATCATGACTTGACCTAAGGTCACTTTACGTCCTCATATTGTGACTTTACAAACTTTCCCTTATGCTAACCTCGGACCCCTGGGAAGCATAAATTTCTTTGCTTGTCCTGCCCAGTGCCTCAAAACATAAGAGCTATGATATCGGAAATCTTACACAGTTTAAACTTAGTAGACCAGTAGATCCGAGAATTTGGGTGCTTGGAGCTGTCTCGGAGATCAGAGGGTTCATCCTCTTCTTCCAGATACAGAAATTGAAGTGTAGAGACATGAAATCGTTTCCTCAGGGACACAAAGAGTATATAAGTGGCAAAGTGCTTTTCCCACTGTTTCAATCTAGCTGTTTCCCGCTAAAGAGAAAACAGCATTCAGTCCAAGCCAAAATTTTCTACAGAAACTTTAGTTTAGAATGCCTTCAGCATGTAGATATGTGTTGTATGCATTTTCACTAGACCGCCCAAGGAATCCATGATACAAAAATGGCTAAGATCCTCTGGTTTATGGCTCCATTTTTTTTTTATCATTTTAGATATATTGTATTGGAAAATTTTTCAAAAGGATGAGAACTATAATCAGAAATAGTGTCTTCATTTTGTTAGTTAGCAGAGGTATTTTTTAAAGTGCATTTATTGTCATTCTGCAGGTGTTGTTTTTTTTTTTAAATGCCATCCTCCAGGCCAGGCAACTTATTTTAAAAGTGAAATCTAAATATGTCCTCTCACCTCTATACACAGTCCTGCAACCTTTTAAAAGGAACAAATAAATTGTTGGGATTTTTGTTTGTTTTTTTATCAGTAAAGTGACACAGAAAGAAACATCTGTATAACCACTTGATAAAACAAAAACCATTTCATTAGTGGAAGTCCATTTGAGTACAACAGAAGGAAATTTCATCCAATACCTGCAAGGACCACAGAGTAGAAGGTGTAGAGAAATAGTATAATGGATATTAAAATGGCTTTAAAAATGTAATTAACCTTCCTTGATATCTTTAGATGTTAATGCTTCTCAAATTACCTCCTCAGTTTAATTGTGTGTTCTACTACATTTCCGTAGTGTAGATTATCAGCTTCTTGAATTGTGGGATTGTTAAGTTTTTGCCTTTGTATCCCCAGTATCTAGCATAGGGTGTCTTGGATTTAGATGTAGAAGAGAGCTCAAAGGTCATTGAACCCAACTCCTTAGTTGTACAGATGAAGAGACAGAGGATAAATGAATGACTTCTACTATCCTATCAGGTTAAGTGGCAAAGCTGGAATTTGAATGCAGGCCCTTTGATTTATAATCTAGTAGTCCTTCCACTAAGCTAGTCTTATATCTTTGTTGAATTTAATTTTCCAGCAACTGTGATAATTCTTTAAATGATTTCGAGGTAGATTCAAAAATTTGAAGTCAATTTTTTTCATATACTTCACTGTTGTCAAAGTAGTAATAGTAATAGACCTGAGCTAGGAAAGTAATTTATACATCTCCCAGAAGTGATAAGCTGATATTGGCAGAACTCACTGGCTATCAAGCATGGTGCCTCACTCTTGTGTGTAAGCTGATTGGTTAGTATTTTCTTTGGCTTTATGATGTCAACATGGAATGTACTATGTGAGTACAAGAATTGAAATTGTTAACCAAAGATTAAAAAAATAGAGGGTGTTTGGATGGGATTAAAAAGTTTATCAATGTGTTGCTTCCTGGGATTCTGCAAGTAAATACTGATGAAAATCATCTTTAAAACAGCATTCCAAGCAGTGGGTAAAATATTAAATAGATGTGATCCTGCCTATTGGATTTGGAAAATAATGCTATAAAAACATACTTTTTTTCTTTAATGTAGATTGGCAAAATGAACAAAGACGCACAGATGAGAGCAACTATTAACCAGAAACTGATAGAAACTGGTGAACGAGAACGGTAAGTAATATTTTGCTTGACTGGTCAAGCACTTTTATAGTACTATCACATATAAATCTTTAGAAATGTTTATATCATCAAGGAAGTAGCAGACCATGTGTGAAAGGTTTATAGAAAACTGAATTATGAACTTCATTCTTAACTTTTGTAAAGGAAACTTAATTAAGGATATCTTACTTCAGTACTTGGGTGAATCTTATCAAATATAAGTACTACTTCTGGCGATATAGATCAAAACCCATCCATACCTTATCTTGTACTGCTCTTGTCCACTCCTTCTATAAAATCCCTACAAGGAGCCCAACCAGTGTGCTGGGAGCCTTCTCTTACTATTACCTGGATACCAGTGGTGGTGAGTAAAGGCTGTCCATTGCTTATCTCTCGTTTTTGAAATGTGACCTGAGTCAGTCCTTTTCTGATCATATTTCTCACTGATGTATTTTATACTGTTTCTCATATAAAATTCTATGTGGGTAACATTACATCCTACACATAACCACCATGTGTTTCTCCCTTTTCCTTTGGGTGAACCAGAATTTTAATTCTTGAAAATTCTTCCATGACTTACAACCATATAGTATACAGAACTAGAGACACTCTGCCCCATTCTTTTCTAGATACTTAGTTCTAGGCCTTTTGCATAGGCACAACAGCTCTCGAAGTGGTAGTCCCGTGTCACCCCTCCCTCCCCCCAACCCCAAACTAGCAGCTTCCAGCCCAGCCCTCATAGCCATTATCAAGGAAAGCAACTCCTATGGAGAACGGGTTAGCCATCCCCGCCAGCTTGCCATTCACAGGACAGGCAGGGCACCTGAGGGAGAAATAGGAGGCTGCAGCTTGTACCAGGCAAGTCTAGACACCTCCACCATCTTGACCACTATCTCCTCTCAGAGCCATTTAATAGCAACAGCCTAGGACACTGAACCCTGAGAATAGTGACATTAACTAATGACATTAAAGAAGAGGCATTACTGTCTGTTTTGTCAGTTCACTTTAAAGACCATGGGAATTTTCCATTTGACCTGCAGTTGATTTCTTCCAAAATGTGTTATCTGTCTCATTAGGATGTGGGCTCCTTGAGATCAGGGACTGTCTTACTTTTCTACTTTTATTCTCAGTGCTTGGCATGTAATAAATGCTTACTTAATAAGTGCTTTATTCGTTTATTCATTATCTATCTGCAGTATTTGTTAGGTATATACAGATGGATCACCTCTTTGGCTTCTCCATTCGTTACTAGACCATAAACATTCTTCATCCATTTGGTTTTTCCTTTGTAAATATGTCAAACTCCTGGGTGATTGTGGATCTCATATAGGATGCAATCAATATATATCATCAAAAAGAAAAAACTCCCCTGTATCAGAAGTATCTCACCATCTGTAAGAAATCCATTACAATGACAAACACCTTTTGCTAGGTTGTATCTCCCTGTTTATGCCTCACTTGATGTTAAAAATTAAAATGTCACGAGTTATCTCTGTTTGTGTCTCAACAGAATCATGAATGATGTTTACTTATGTGTGGGAGATACTTTGTTGGAGGAGAGTCGTTAATTTGGCATTTTACTTTATTAAATTTAATACTTCTTTATAGACAGTAAACAGTAAACAGAGTGATGTTTTATTATTCAGCACGTCACAGTCATTTCCTGTAGCATCACTTATAAAAACCTGCCTCTTCCCTTCTCATGCCTTGGTATACCCCAGTTGTTCCCTTTTACCACTAGCGTCAAATACAAACTCCTCTATTTGGCATTTAAAGTCCCTTCATAAACTGGCGCCAATCTGCTTTTCCAATCTGACACTTACTTCCCTTCTCATATACTTAGTCCTACCAAACTGACCTTGCAGTTCCTCACAGATAGCACTACTGTTTTTTTTTTTGCCTTTGTATAGGCAGTCCCTTCTTGCCTAGAATTCAATCCTTTCTCATCTCCACCTTATTGAATGCATAGTTAACATCAAAATTCAGTTCAAATGCTACATGAATGCATAGTTAACATCAAAATTCAGTCCAAATGCTACAAGAAGCCTTTGCAGAACTACCCCACAAGCCCCAAATGCTATTTTTTATTTATTCTGTACATACTTAGATATTCCTCTGATTGTTTCCTGGATAAAATGTAAGCTTCTTCACAGCAGGGACCATTTTATTCTTGTTGTATCCACTAGCCCTAATACAGTGCCTGGCACTTAGTAGGCACTTAATGAATGCTTGTTGATTAATGGATTCCCTCAGGGTCCTAAGTTATGCTGTTTTCACAGCCCATTGTTCTTTCTGTACTTGGTCTACTCCAGCAACTCTTCCCACTTTTGTTTTCTTTAGCATCCTATCTCTTTCCTCGTGTAATATATATGGGAGACTGCAGTGTTAATATCCAGATATGATCATCAATACTTATTGATGGAAAAAAGTTTGTTACAGAAATATTGATAGCTTTTCCCCCCATTTTTCTCCATCCAGTTTCCTTTTTCATTGTTTTTTCTAGATGGCCTAGCTTAATTCTCTACCAAGCTTTCTGTAAATTTTGCCTTCCATTCATTCTCATTGTTTTATGAAGTGATAAGATAAGTAATCAAAATCATCCATCATCCTTTCCGTAAGCTTTTAGAAGTGCATTTGTATTTTAAACTAGTGCTGTCCTATGTCTGCTTGACAAGGAGAAAAAGTATTTCCTTTTTCCTGAGGTACTTTATGGGCTTTGTTATTGTGACTGATTTGTATTTGTTAAATTTCCTTAAAAGAAATGTTTATTGTGTGTCAGTGTCTATCTTTTATCCATTTCCAATTTCTTGAGAAAATTATTTCACTAAGAGAAGCTGTGGCAAAGTACAATTTCCAAAGGATGTTTTTTTACTCTTGTTTTTATGCAGCTTCCAAATCTCTGCCTCTGCCAAAGCTCTCAGTTTTTAATTCATTAAGATCCATCTAGGAGCATTATCAGACTTAGGTTTGTCAGTTGAAGAGGGTGGTTGGGAAGAAAAGCTAAGGAATAAAACAATAAAAGAAGAATTATTAGAGATCTAGTCCACTTCTTCATGTTGGAGATAAAAAAAACCAGAGACCCAGAAAGGTTAAGTCACTTATCCAAGGTAACACAACTACTTAGTTGTTGATCTAGAACTAGAGCATAGATCCATTTTCATTTAGGTGCTCTTTCCGTTACGGCATGCTGCCTTGTGAGTTTGAAGTGACAAAGAAGGAAGCATCACCAGTTAATGTAACATAGGACGCTGGACAGGGAATTAAGAAATCTGGTCTATCCAGTTGAAATATTCATTCAGCACTTAACTGTGTACAAGGCACAAGGGGTTCAAAACAGTCCCTGCTCTTCAACAACATGTACCAAGATGAATCAGTATAAAATATGCATAAAATTTTGGTAAGGCATTGGGGAACATTAACAATAGAAGGCATCAAGAAAAGCCTTGTCATTTAGTAAACATTTAATAAACATCCTGATTTTACAAATACAGAAAATCAAAATAGTCCTTGCCTCCAAGGAGCTTACAATCTAATGGGGAAAGACAACACACAAAAGGAAGCTAACAAGGAGGGAGGAGAGTAGAGGAGGGATGGAATCAGGAATTCAGCTGTTAAATAAAGAGATGGCTGGCCTGGAAGCCCTCTTTAAATGGAGGTTTTAGGATGAGTTCTGTGTTCCTCCCTCTAACGCTCAATCAGAGGAGCAGAGGGTACTGAAGGTACTGATGGGGTATGGGTGCCAAGGTTGATAGAATCTCCCAGGATGATGAATTTCCTAGGGGCATAATGGAAGTCCAGTCCACAGGAGTGTAGCTAGTGGAAACAAAGAAATGTCTGCTAGCCTGGGAGTCCTCTTTAAAAGGGCTTTTGTATAGTAGTTAGCACCTTGAAGGCAGTTAAGGATTCTGGAGTCAGAAAGCAAGCATACTCTTGTGAATCTTCTAGGCATGAAGCTTACACAATACAGCATATGCAGGGACAGTTCTGCCACAAACTGGCAGGGTCATTTAACCTCAGTGAGACTTAGGTTTTGTCATAATGCAAAAATAGGAAACTTGACTACATGATCTCTTAATTATTTCAATAACTCACCAAGCATGCATTAAGCACTTACTACATACCAGACAATACTGGATGCTGGAGATTCAAAGAGAAAAATCAAATATTCTTCAACCTCAGTGAGCTTATAAGGTATATATAAATATAAGGTGGTCAGGGAAGATCAGGAAAGGCTTCATGTAAAAGGTAATGCTTGAATTGAGTCTTAAAGTAAACAAGGAATTCTAAGAGGTGAAGATGAATAGGGAGATAGCCAGAGCAAAGACATGGAGATGGGAGATGGACAGTTGTTTCTGAGGAATATCAAGGAGGTCCATTTGGTTGTATGATAGAATATACTAAAGGGAGTAAAGGTATTGAGGCTAGAAAGGTAGGCATATAGGTTGTGAAGAGTTTTAGGTAGTAGCAGGAAAGAAAAAGTTAATAAATTTGACTCTGGGTATGTTTAAGGTAGCTTTTCTTCCTTGATTAAGGTCATTTGTAACTAAGAAAAAATTAAGAATATTTAAATTTTCAGAAGAATCTTTGAATTTAGCAATAGATCAAGGTTCAGCCAATATTTTGATAGCATAGATTTGGAGTATGGTGTAACCTGAGTTCAAATCTCACCTCATTCTCTCAACCTTAGTTTGTTCTTCCATAAAATGATAACATTTCATGTAATACCCATATCAGGGGGTGATTGTGAAGTCATATTTGAACTCAGGTCTTCCTGATTCAAAGCTCAGCACACTATCCACTGCTCCCCCTAGCTCCCTCATCCTTAAAAGGAGACATTTAATTCAACAGACTTTCTTTGACTATGTGAAGTGAACTATAACTTTATGTACCATAACACAGTGTGTTCCATATGAGCTATATAAATCCTTTGGTTTGGAGAAGGTAGGTGGAGCTAATCAACAGAGTTGATTACTAAGGAAGAGGTTTGAACTTGTGGTCATGAAAGAAAGAAAATCTAAGATTAACAAATGAAATCTGTACTAAAACTCTCTATACTGCAAATGTTTAACATTCTTTTTTTTTTCCCCAGACTTAAAGAGTTGCTAAGAGCTAAATTAATTGAATGTGGTTGGAAAGATCAATTAAAAGCTCATTGTAAAGGTAATCAGTGTTTAATTTGGTCACAAATCTAAGCTAGTCTTTCTGTACCAAGGTCTGTTGATTTTTTTGGCTATTAGAGAGATACACATATGTACTTAATAATTTGTCCTTACCCAATTATTTTTAAATGAATGCACACAGGAACTTGATAATGCTAAGATCTCTCTCAGTCCCTCTCTATAGGTTGAGAAGACAAAGAACTACTACTAGTGAGATTTGTCATTCCTAAATTGTTCTGACTTTCCAAGAGAAACTCAGAAAAAAGTTCTTACTGTGAAAGTTAGGATATTAAAAGTAACCTTGTAAGACACTGTTAATGTGGTACAAAAGATAAACAGATGTCATGTTCTCACCTGAAATTTTCCCTTATATGCAAAATGGATTTCTCTCTATATAAAGGGTTCTTAAATATTTTATTTAAAGACTGCTCATACTACTAGACTTGGGATATCTAATGGATAAGTTTCTTCATTTTTATTTACAAAATGTTTCATAGCTTCTTGAAGCTATCAGATTATTTATATGTAACATAAGAATTTTGTTATGTAGTATATAAAAATTCTTTTAGAGAACAGTTCTATATGAAATACGTAGATTGGTCATTTATTACAGTTTAAGTTTTTATCATTTGCAATAGATCCTGTACTCATTAAGTACCTGCTATGTGTAAGTCATCCTGCTGGGGACTAGAAATGCCTAAATACTTAATTCAGGAAGAGCTGTGTCCTCATCACTGTGATCACAAAGACGAAAGTCTCTGCCCTTAAGTTGATTATGCTTTATTGGAGGGATTACAGCACGTACAGAAATGAGTAAGAAACAAAGTCACTTAAGGTTAACAGCAGAGAAATCAAAGAGGTCTTCATGAAGAGGCAGCACCTGAGCTAAACCTTGAAAGTTAACAGAGATTGTAAAGCAGGAAATTAGCATTTTGTGTGCTCCTTGGATTCCTTTTAGCAAAGTCAAATCAAGAAGCATTTATTAAGTTCCTATACTGTACCAGGTACTGTGCTAAGCCCTGGGGATACAAAGAAAGGAAAATAAATAGTCCCTGCTCTCCGGGAGCTCACACTGTAATGAGGGAGACAACATGCAAACAGCTATGTAAAAGCAAAATAAAGACAGGATAAATTGGTGGTAATCTCAGAGGAAAGGCACTAAGATTAAGGAGGCCTGAGAAAGGTTTTTTACAGAAGGTGGGACTTTGGCTGAGACTTGAAGAAAGCCCAAGAGGCAGAGAAAAGGTAGAAGATAGTTCCAGGGATGAAATTTTAAACAAGATTTGGTTACCCAAAAAACCCAACCAAACAAAAAAAAAACCAAACCCATAATACAGGATAGGGATAAGGACTGTACCTGTGATATCATTGATAGAATGCCTAGAGAAAGAAACTCCTTATACCAGCTATAGGTTAGCACGTTCTCTGCAACTGATAGTCTGGAACAGAGTTGTCAAACTCAGGGGCTCTAGCAGCAGAATTCCCCAGGGAGGCCCAAAGCAGATTAAAATGTAATTTCAAAATGTTTAACAAATTAAATAAAAATACAATACAATATAGATGATGTTAATTTGTGGCTTTCTAATTCAACAAGGATCCATTTCTATTTGAGTTTGACACCACTGGTCTAAAGCAGTAGAGATTAAATAACTTGTCCAGGGTCACAGAGCCACTGTTTGTCCAGGATGCCACTGGAAGCCAGGTTTTCATACACTACATCATGGCAGCCTGTCATTACAACCCAATAATAAAGACCTTTTGTTATGTCCCCTGCACACATTATAATCACATTAATAGTCAGGGAATGCTGTGTCATTCACTTCATTCTCTTCACTTGAAGTGTTGGCACTGAAGCCTCTAAAGATACGTATATATTTAAGTATGCTAATTTTTGGAGGTATTTTGTGTAGTATATCAGTATCTTATAGGCTTTAATATATCTAGGTGCTTATTACTTAAATTCTAGAATTCTGGGTATTCTAGAAATCTAGGCAATCTAGTATTCTAGAAATCTGGGCAAGTTATTTTCAGATCTGAAAACAATTTATAGCATTTCTTTACTAGAGTGGCCTACAGCCAAGTGTATCTTATTTTTTAATCCTCCTACTCATCTACCCTCCCACTCTTGAACATTAACTATTTTTTATTATCAAATGAGAAGTGGCTTAGGTCAGTGCCTGGCATGTAGTAGATGCCACATAAATGTTTTTATTCTTTTTTCTTCCCTTTTCCTTCTGTACATTCCTTCTCCTAAGAGGCAGCAAGTAACATCTGAAGGTACATTGGATAGGCAAATGCTGTTTCAGCCAAAAGTGGGCCACAGGGCTAACAACAGAGTGGTTATACTACATGTAAACTTTGGCTAAACCAAGTGAATGAAGCACAGACAAAAAATAAATTTTGGTTTCCTCATATTTGAGAACTAACTTGAGATTATGCTAAGACAAACTCTTTACTGGAAAGAAGATTCCAGCTCCTCACAAATGCTGGATTTAAGCATCATAATGAAATGGTAATTTTATTAATTTGGGGCTTTATGATTAGTATTTGTTAAATGTACAAGTTATGTATTTTACAAGAGGGTAGGCTTTTTTAATGAACTAGTAAACATTTAAAATTTATTTGCAAGGTTACATTATATCCATTGTGTTTTTCCTGACATGAATCACAGTATCGAGTCCAACAAAATATATAGTCTTATAATTAATTATATAATTTTTTAAAATTATGGTATTTGTATTTTGTTTTGGACTTTTAAAGATGTGATTAAAGAAAAAGGATTAGAACACGTTACAGTTGATGACCTGGTGGCAGAGATAACTCCAAAAGGCAGAGGTAAGAGATGAGTTGTTTGAAATAGTCTACTTTAGGAATCCAAATTCTATAGAAGTAAATACTCTGGATTAACTATAAGTCTAATAGACTGGATTGATTATTTGACACTTAAACAGTCTATCTTCATTTCTTAAGCCATTATTCTGGGATATCTTTCCTTGCTTAGTATGTCTATTCCAAGCCCCTAATTTATACCACATCCAAATGTGACAAGAGTTGACCAATTGTATATACTGCATGACAGTCTGTTAGACTGCACAGTTGCAGTGCGGCCTCATTCATAGCTCCTCCTCTGATGCTTTTATTTACTTAGAAATTGCAAAGGAAAGAAAAATTAATTGATCTGAACTCTGGAGCCAGGGCAGAGTAGTGATCTCGAAAATCTTGTCATGTTGTTCTCTTGAAGTTAATACCATGATAGCATTTATGCTTTTGTTTGTGGCATAAATTATTTATGATGTTTAACCAATCACAGAGCCCTTAAGATTCAGAGGCAGCCTGCCTTGGAGTTAGGAAGATCAGAGTTTGAATGTTGCCTTTAATAACATAATGGTTCTGTGATCATGAACAAGGTTACTTAACTTATCAATTCCACTGGTGATTCTTTTTAAAAATTAATTTTTATTGATGTCTTCTGTTTTTGTATTTCCTACATTTCCCTCTGTATCCCTCTCCCTTTCAGAGATCTGTGCCTTACAATAAAGAACAAAAAAGAAGAGGGAAGACAAAAGGGTCGGGGGGAATGGAGGAGTTCAAAAAAAACTCTGGCATTATATACAATATTTGACACCCATAATGCCTCATGCCTGCAAAGATGCAGGGGGAAGTTCTTTCTCATATCTCTTCTTCAAGGCCAAGCTTAGTTATAGCATTCAGATGTAATGGTTTTGTTGTTTTGTGTTTGTTTTTTTTTTGTAGTTGTGTTGTTTTTTAGTTCACCTCACTATTAGTTGATGAGTTTTCTTTGTAATATCATTTCTTATAGCACTATAATATTGCATTCATGGACCACAGTTTGTTTAGACATTCCCTAGTCAATTGACTTGGTGACTTTTTAAGTTACCAAGTAGTTGCTGAGCTATAGGAGTTTCTACACATTGGAGTTTCCCATGTGGACAGAACTGTAGGTCTAGACGACACCCCCCCCCCCCCCAAAAAAAACATCCCTGTATCAAGTATCTTTGATAAAGTTTTGATATCAGAGAACGAGGTAGTATTAGAACATGTTAAAATATATATATATACACACACATACACATATAATTGTACATGTACATATAGGGGTGTGTGAGAAGAGAGATTAAATTAATATAAATGACCAAGAGATTTTCCACAATTATTAAGTGGTCGAAGGATATAAACAGTTCTGAAAAAGAGAATTGCAGAATTTTAACAGCCATATGGAAGATTACTCCAAATATCTAATAAAAAAGTGCAAATTTAAATGATGGTTTCACCTCACACTCAGCAAATTTGCAGAGATGGACAGAAATTTGAATAGTCAGTATTAGATGGTCTGTAGAAAGACAACATTAATTTCACACACACAAGTGGGATCTCAAGGTAAAAGAATATGGACATTTTAGTCACTGTTTTAGTATAATTCCAAATCATGATGTTATCGATAAAGATATATCTTGCAATATGTGTGTATGTATATGTGTCTATATATCCCAAAGAAATCAAAACACAAAGGAAGGTCCCTTATATACCAAAGTATTCATAACACTTTTTGTGATGACAAAGAACTGGGATCAGCGTACGCATCACTTAAGATGGTGCTAAACAAATTATGGTACATAAACCTCATGGAATAGTACTGTGCTTAGGAAATGAGAAATATGAGAAATTCAGAAAAACAAGGAAAAAGATACAGAGTGAAAGTAAACTAAGAAAATAATCTATATGGTGAACTACAATTACACTGAATGAAAAAAAAAAGTTAAATGCTGTGTGATTGTAATGACCAAGCTTGACTTTGGAGATGATTTGAAAAAATGCACCTTCCCTCCTTTTGTCACAGAGGTGGGGGGACTATGGGTATAGAATATCCTCTGCTATCATGTATGATTGACCATAGACTTGAGGCTGAAAGACACCTCAGAGACCACCTCCAAACTCCTCATTTTACACAGAGAATAACTGGCAGGAGAAATTTGAACCCGCATCTTCTGACTCCAGAGCCATTACTCTTTACACTGTACTATGGTATTAGTTGGTTTTGTTAAGCTTTTTTTTTTTTCACTCTTTTATTAAGGCTCACTGGGTTGGGAAGGAAGGGAAATGAATGTGATGTAAAAACAAAAGATATCAGTAAAATTTTTTGAAGTGCTGCATTGTTCCTGCCCTCAAGTTTTCAATCTAAAATAGACAGTATGCTATGTACACAAGAAAGTGTGACACAAAGTAGAATGTGACAAGGGCAAAGGAGAGATTCTAATAGAATTACAAGAAAATTTTAGGAGTGAAAACTCAAGATTTAGCCAAGAGACTAAGGAAAATTTTGGAGGAAGTGTCACTAGCGCTTGTTTTAGCAGGTGGACACCAGGAAGGAGGGTCCAAGGCATGAGGAATCACATCTATAAGTACATAAGAGACAGGAGAAGACAAGATGATATTGGAGAAGAGCAAGTTATCTAATTTGGCTGAAACATGGACTTGGAAAAAAGAAGGTGGATCTTGGAAAGCCCTTAATGCCAAGAGGTTACATTTCATATTCTAGGCTTTAGGGGAATGAATTAGTGAAAGTTTTTTAGTTATGAATTGCCAGGTAGCATTATGGATCCACCTAAGGGCAGAGAAAATGAGTTATTAGTACAGGTCCTTCCAAGGATATTCAACATCCTGGAAAGAGGAAAGAACATGAACAGGGTAGCCTAGAATTGCAAGTTGGTTTGGTTGGCACTAATGAGCATCAGCAAGAAGGTTGGCCACAAAAAGATGACCTTTAGTAGCTCATTCAGATCCTCTGCTAAGGTAGAGAATTAGTGCCTATGCTGAGAAAATCTCAGCTCTCTGGTAAATGTATTTTAATATGTCTTTCATACTTTTAATCTAGACTTTTAAAGCTCCTTTTCTGGTGTTAACTTGGCTTCTTTGTAGAATCCTTTTTCACAGGCATGAATTATGTGGCAAACTTTATTGTATATGAATTGAAAGTAGTCTGTGTCCATATGCCATTTTATTTCTGACTGTTTCTATTTCACTCTTTTCAGCACTTGTACCTGACAGTGTGAAGAAGGAACTTTTACAAAGAATAAGAACTTTCCTTGCTCAGCATGCTAGCCTTTAAGATGGTCTGGAACATCACCACGTTGTACTTTGATTTCTTTAATGCATAAAAAACATGCCATACATTTGGAGTGCATTTTCTAAATTAGTCCTTTTTTTGTATGATGAATTTTACATGTTTTGGTAATGGCCCATGTGTTGTATTGATATTTTTTTTCTTGAAGATTATTTTAATAATAAAAATAAATGTAAATGTTTGAAAACGACATTTCTACTGTATTATTCTATGTTCTCTGTTTCCAACTTTACATTGACTAGAAATGTTGTAATCTTTCTCCCGGTATTCTCTTTTATCATAAAAATGTCCTTAATAATAAATATGTTTATTAAGCACTGTACTAAAAATTAAATATAAGATTCTGCTCCAAAGAGCTTATAGGCCCCTTCTCCCTTGGTCTGTACTTTAAGGCCTCCTTACTAGGCGTAAGAAAGTTGGCAAAGAATATGATTCTGGGAGGATTCTTTGTCTCATCTGGACCCCTAGTCTTGAGCTAAAAGAGCACCATACGTACCCAGCCAACACCTTAGGAGGAGGGCAGCCTTTCCTCAGAGAACAAGTAACTGACTGATACTTGTACTCTCCCATAGGGAATTCTGTTTGCAAACTTTAATAATTTAGTGTATGATAGGACATCTTTCTACTAAATTTTAAAATTACTCAGGTTTTAATTAGTCCTACTTAAGCCCTACTAAGGAATTTCTACATTTCAGAGCTATGCTTTCATATATAAAGTACTATAAAGTACTCCTTAAGCATAGGCCATTCTTTTTATGAACTCTTTATAAACCTTTATGATTTGTCAGCTATCAAGATAACTGCTAAATTGTATAAAGTTTTTAATCTAAAGAAGGGAGAAAAATTAACCTTTTCATGCTCTAGAAGTGAAGTTATAAAATTCCTTAAGTCCCTGTTTTTGAGTAAAGTACAAGTATAACTGAGAATTGTTTAGATATTTGCTCACGTCTTTACTCATTAAGCATAATGATAGGGTGTTGCTCAGTGAGGGCCAAAGGTCCACCAAAATAGATGTTTTAAAAGATCTCAAAGCTAGAAGGGACCTTTGGGATCATCTCATCCAGGAGTTCTTAATGTGGGTCAGTGTTGTTTATGAACAAATGGGGAAAAAATTACATCTTTATTTTCACTAACCTCTGACTGAAATTAACATTTCCTTCAGTTATGAATATAGGCAACAGACTGCAGTAGTTTAGGCTTCACCAGACAGCCAGAGGGGTCTATGACAAAAAAGGTTAAGATATTCTGATCTAGTCGAACCACCTTGATTGACATATCAAGAAACAAGCCCAAAAAGCTTCAATAGTTTTTTTTCTGATTTGGTAGATAGTCTTTGGTATAGACATTCACCACCTGTTGCTGATGTGGTGATGAGGCAATCTAGGCAGGTTAAACCGCAGGTGGCAGGAATGTAATGTCACCAGGCCTCTTTTACATATTGGTAAGGCTTATGAGAGACTGCCTTTCACAGATATTGGAGCTGGAAGAAATCTTAGAGACAAAAAGTAACTAAATGTCCATTCTCTTTGACTTAGTTTCCATTGCTAGACTTATAATCGTAAGGAGCTTATGAGCAAAAAGGCTCCACATAAAGTAAAATATTTACAGCAGCACCTTGTGTGGTAAAAAAAGAACTGGAAACAGTAAATGCCTATTAATGAGGGGGGATGACTAAATAAATTGTGGTGCATGAATGTAATGAATATTACTGTAATGTAAGAAATGATGAATTCAAAGAAGCAGAAGTGATGAAAAGTAAATTAAGCAGAGCCAGGAAAACAACATACAAAATAACTGCAGCAATGAAAATGTAAAAAACCACCACAAAACAATTGAAGCTGAATACTGTCCCCAAAGAAGAGACATGAGAAGCCCCCTCCCCCTGCTCCTCTCCAGAAGTAAGGGTCCACAGGTATGGAACATTGTATAAAATGTCAGATTTTTCCAATGTGTTGATTGATTTCGCTGATTTTTTTTCTCTTTAAATGTTTTTTTGCCATAAATTGAATTCTTCATTATAATGAGGGAAATCCAGACAATTTTTTTAAATCAATAATTCCCCTTTTGTTTTGTTTTTTTGGTGAGGCAGTCGGGGTTAAGTGACTTGCCCAGGGTCACACAGCTAGGAAATGTCAAGTATCTGAGGCCAGATTTGAACTCAGGTCTTCCTGACTCCAGGGCCAGTGCTCTATCCACTGTGCCACCTAGCTGCCGCCCTATTTTTTTAATGTTCATCCCACCTGGTCATCTTGCCATGTGTCCTGTCATTGTATCCAGGGAGAGATAGCTGAACCTCTGACTCCAGAGCTAGTGTTATTTCCACTGGACTGTCAGCTGTGTTAGAAATGATTATAAAATGATTCCTATTTATTGCATAAGTAAATGCAGTAATTACAACTCCTGTATGCTTCTGTATTATAGAGTAAAAGGAGTTCAAACTAAATTATTCAAATTGTCCCTTTGCTTTGATATAGCAAATATATCATTTTATCCAGCAATGCCAAAGCAAGAACCAGATGATTTGGAGGAGTGGTAAGTAATTAGGTATTGCATTTTTCATAACTTCGTGAATGGCCTCATTCCAATTCAAGAGAATTGTTACAGCTGCTCACCAACCAACTTGAGAAATGATTCCAGTTTATTTGTTATGAGCTTTAAATTTTTCTCCTCCTCCCTCCCATCTCCTTCCCCAAGTCGGCACGCAATCTGATATAGGCTATACATATATATTCCTATTAAACATATTTTCACGTTAGTGATGTTGTAAGGAAGAATTAGAACCAATAGGAGGAACCACAAGAAAGAGAAAACAAAACAAAAGAGAAGGAAAAAAAATAACAAATAGTATGCTTTGATCTGCATTCAAACTCCATAGTTCTTTCTTTGGATGTGGATAGCATTTTCCATCATGAGGGCTTTGGAGATGTCTTAGATCCTTATATTGCTGAGAAGGGTTAAGTCTATCAATATTAGTACCTAACTGATTATGTTATTCTCTTCTTGAGCCAAATCCAATGAAAGTAAGGTTCAAACAATGCTCATCTCCCTCCCTTCTTTCCATCTGCTGTAATAGTTTTTTGTGCCTTTTCCTATAATATATTACCCTTGTCTGCCTCCTCCTTTCCTTTTCTCTCAGTACATTTTCTTAGATCAGATTAATTCACTTACTTTGATCCATTTGACCCACTTGATTACAGTTTTTTTATCATTACATCAAAGTCAATTTATACCCACCCCCTTTATGTATACCCCTTTAACATACTGTAATAACAATACAGTTCTTAAGGATTACAAGTGTCATCTTCCCTTATAGGGATGTAAACAGTTTGCCCTTGTTAATAACATGTTTCTTTCTGTTCCATTTACCTTTTTATGTCTCTCTTGAGTCTTGTATTTGAAGATAACTTTTCTGTCGAGCTCTGGTCTTTTTATCAGGAAGATTTGGAAGTCCCCTATTTCATTGAATATCCATTTCCTCCCCTGAAAGGACATGCTCATTTTCACTGGTAGTTGATCCTTGGTTGTAATCTAAGCTCCTTTGCCTTATGGAATATCATACTCCACGCCCTATGGTCTTTTAATGTGGAAGCTGCAAGGTCCTGTGTAATCCTGACTGTGATTCCATGATATTTAAATTGTTTCTTTCTGACTGCTTGCAGTATTTTCTCTTTGACTTGGTAATTTCAGAATTTGGCTACTATATTACTTGGTGTTTTCAATTTGGGATCTCTTTCAGGAGGTGATAGGTGGATTCTTTCTATGGCTATTTTACCTTCTTGTTCTAGTTTCTCAGGGCAGTTTTCTTTTATGATTTCCTAAAAGATGCTGTCCAGGCTCTTTTTTTCATTGTGATTTTCAGGTAGGCCAATAATTTTAAAATTGTCTCTCCTGGATTGATTTTCCAGGTCAGTTGTTTCATCAATGAGGTATTTTACATTTTCATCTATTTTTTTCATTCTTTTGTTTTTGTTTGACTGATTCTTGCTCTCTCATAGAATCGTTAGCTTCCATTTGCCCAATTCTAATTTTGAACAAATTGTTTTCTTCTATTAGATTTTGTACCTCCTTCCCCATTCGGCCAATTGTGTTTTTTAGGGATTTGTTTTTTTCAGTGTACTTTTTTTCCAGTTAGTCAATTGTATTTTTTAAGGACTTGTTTTCTACAGTTAATTTTTGTCCTTCCTTTTCCAAACTATTGACTCTCTCTTGCATACCTCTCATTTCTTTTCCCATTTTTTCTTCTACCTCTCGCATTTGACTTTTAAAATCCTTCTTGAGCTCTTCTAAGAAGGTTTTTTGGGCTTCAGACCAGTTCATATTCCCTTTTGAGGTTTCAGATGTGTGTTTGTTGACAATGTTGTCCTCTTCAGAATTTCTGCCTTGATCTTTCCTCTTCCTATAATAACAATCTATGGTATGTTTCTCTTTGCTCATGGTGTTCGCTTATTTCCTGGTCTTTAAAGAGATTGTGCTCTCCTGCTGGGGAGCAGGGGGCACTGAACCAAGTTTCTTGTGTTGGGAGCCTAGGGCCTGGTCACTGGCTTTGTGTGCTGGGGTCTCCAATGCTGGCAGTTGGAGGCTGTAAGGTTCTGGCAGCTTACCTGGTGTTGGCCTGGAATCAGCAACACTGGAACTCTAGGGGTAGGATTGGATAGTGTGGCTCCTGGAGATTTCCTGCTCACCTGTGCCTTTCCTTCCTTTTGCTTTCTTCAGCTGCTTTCAGATGGATATTGCAGGATGTTTATCCACCTGGGGCCCCTTGGAGTGCTGCCTCTCTTAGTTTTGCTGAGGCACTGGGAGAGCCGTTGCTGTAGAATGCTGAGGCACCTGGTGTTTTGCAAGCTGGTATCTACTGGTTCCCCCACCCTCACTTGAGGTACTCAGGGGGTCCTGACAATTTTACATCACTTCATCCCTACATCTACTGCGCAAACGTGCTACAGATGTTTTGAACCATGATCATGAGAACTCATATCTAACACTTGGGAAGCAGAGATTGTTGTGGCTATGGATCCTGGGAAGAAAACTCTAAGAAAGAATAACAAAAAATACACTTTACACACACTAAAATTCACCTTACTTACACATAGATAATGTAAACTTAGGAGTTTATTGTTGGCATGTTGCCTTCTTTGTCTGTTTCTCTACATATCAAGTGAGCACCTCATCTTGACCTGCTGCTGTGAGAATAAAGTGCTGTGAA